TGCTGATCTTTTCCGACGCTTCTCTCTCTCTTCTCTTTCTGTGCTCACATGTCAATCACTTCTCTTCTCTCTTCTCTCTTCTCGATCTCTCAATGTGATAGTTGTGCTATTGAAGCAATTAATCTCTCTCTCTCTCTCTCTCTCCCTCCCTCTTCTACAATCGATCTTACATTCCTTAAAATCAACCACGTCCCCTCTATTTTCAAGGCGTGATCACGACCGCGGGATTGCCCAACATGAGTCGAAACGGCAGCGCGATGGCCTCTGCCCGTCCGGCGGCTGGGGGCCAGAAGGATGGGACCAGCGGTCAAGCAGAAGGTGGAAATGCACTGGTCAATGGCTACTTGATCCTCTACAATGCCCTTCTGGCTGCCGGGTAAGATGTCACTGCGTTTTGGTCTCGAGTTCACTGACTGCGCAGTAATCTCCCCGTTAAAACGGCAGCGCCCGTCTCTGGGCAGTCTCCCTCTCCCTCTTCCTCTCTCTCCCGTCAAATCTGCTGATCCTGCTTACCCCCGTTCCCCGCCCCGGAGATATGACACTCGTGTGCAAATGCACAGCACACCAAAAATCAACAACTTGTGACCTGGCGCTTGCGTCCCTTGAACACATCCAGTCCCCGCCGCGATCCGTCTCACCCAATGTCCTTTGGCCCTGTTTCGATAGCTGGTCCATGATCTTGTACGATCTACTCCGCCCGTTTCACCTTTGCAATGGGGTGGCCGGTGATCATGAGCTTGATCTCGCCCCAGCCTGGCTCCCCGCCCAAGCCCATGGCCTCCTTTGCACCGATAGCTCCAGTGGCATGCCTCTCTTCCATGCTCTCCAGGTCTGTCCACCTCTGACCGCCCCTTCTACTGCTCATGGTCATAGCAAGTGACCACCACCATACATACAAAAAGAGCCAAACTCACTGCCCGGCGCCTCCCGTGACCCCCTCGCGCAGATCTTCCAAACCGCTGCCATCCTCGAGGTCGCTCACGCGGCCCTCGGCTTTGTCAAGGCCAAGGTCTCCACCACTTTTATGCAGGTCCGACCTCTTGCTAGCTCGGCCCCTCCTTCCCACAGTTCCTCTCTTGCTCCGCAAGTCCAGTTGCCAGAGGCCCTCAGCTCACGCGGCTTGCCTCCTCCTGGCTCCGCTTGCTGTAGGTCCTCTCGCGCGTAATGCTTGTCTGGGCCGCCTGCTGGATCAATCCCCGCATCATGAACTCCCTGGCCTTTTACACCATGACCTTTGCCTGGGCCGTCACTGAGGTTGGTGTCCTACCTGCTCTTTTTTTTTTTTTTTTTCCCTCTCTTCACATTGACCAAGCGCTCCACATCACAGTCTCACCGACCGCTGCTCGTCGTGCTAGGTGGTGCGCTACAACTGGTACTGGACCAAGCTCTTGCTTGGCGATGCCCCTGGTTTTCTGACCTGGTGCCGCTACTCCTTCTTCGTCGTCCTCTACCCGCTCGGCGTCGCGGTACGTCCCTCCAGCCCATCATCACAGCAACCCATCAGCACTCGCGTTCCACTCTTTCTGTCTATCTTTTTGTTTTTCTCCCTCAATTTGAACCCCCTGTGTTGGCTCTCCGTACGATCCAGTCGGAAATTGCCTGCATTCTTCAAGCCATTGGCTACTATGATGCTCTGGCCGAGGAGCAGCGCGTACCGGATGACGACGAAACTGCCCAGTTCCTCGCTCGCGTCGCTCTCACCTTCAACTACACCATCATGGCCTTCCTGTCTCTCTATCCCATCGGTCAGCACTGCCGTTCTTTCTTTCTTGCTTTTGATGATTCCTTTGCCTTGACCTTTGTAAACCTCGCCGTGATATCTCAACACTCGCTTCATCGTCCAACGCCACCCCGCCCCTCGCTGCAGTTTTTCCGGGTCTCTACATGCACGTGTGGGCCCAGCGTCGCAAGGTCTTTGGCAAGCGCCGCCCTGCTCGCCCCGAGCCCACCGAGGGCATCCAGTGGCCTGCCGACGCTACTGGCACTCGCAGGTAACCATGGTTTTCTGCATAACTTGCATGCCCATGCATGTTCGCTGTTCCCTCAACCCCAAACTCACCCTGCCCCTCTATAGTACAAGCTCGACGGGTCAAGCCGTGCTTGCACGCAGCGTCATGGACGTGGATCCTCAGGCAGCGGTGGCCGTCATGAAGGAGCGCAACTGGCGCTTTGGCTACGGCAAGCATTTCATCGAGAACGTGCGCATCTCGCTGCGCACTCCCGAGACTGCTCTCAAGGTTGCCCAAACGGGTCTCGACTACATGCACAACCAGTTTGAGTTTGTTCGTGACGGCAAGGTCATGTCCTTGGCCACTGCCATGAGCACCATCACGGCCAGGTGCGTCTTGCCAAATCCGCCTGACTTCCCTCTCTGGCCTCATACGCTCGCGTCCGCCTCATGTTCCCCTTTCCACGTGGCTTGCCCCTGATCCAAAATTTGCGCACGCAAATTCTGATTGGCTTCCCACAGCTTCCCGGGCACCATGACCATCAAGGGCTCGGGCAAACGCGACCCCGTGTACAAGGTGCCCTACCGTCGCAAACCTTACCCGGAGCAGTCTCCCCTTGAAGATCTCACCGGTTTGTCAAGCGTCATGACTAGGCATCCCCTGCTCAGTTGTAGTCGGTGCTTTGTTGTGCCTGCTGCTTCTCTCGTCCCAACTCATCCCGTATCACTCGTGTAGGCGAAGCGTTGAAGAAGCAACTTGATCAATGGGTCAAGAATGGCACCATCGAACCCAGGTCTGGCTTGAAGCTGTGTTTGACACCCCTACCTTTCTCTATCGTGCGTTGCCTAACACCTTCCTTAATTTTGACCTTTTGTGGTTCAGCGCCCGTGATGCCATTGCTGCCGTGGCAGACCACGACGAATGGGTGGATCTCAGCGACAAGTACTTTGTCCTTCTTGGTGCCGGCTCTGGTTCGTCCTGAATATCCATATCAGACAAGGTGTCTGGCGCACGCACCACCGCTGACCTCGCGCTTTGTGATCCCTCGCCTTGCTGGCTGCATACTGACCTTAGCCATGGGTCCCTATCTTGTCCTCATGGCTCTCGGGGCCAACGTCATTGCCCTTGACCTCGACCGCCCGCAAATCTGGGAGCGTCTGATCAAGGTGGCTCGCGAGAGTGCCGGTACCTTGATCTTCCCAACCAAGGTACGACTCGGCTCTGGCTGTCAAGGCTGAACGCGTGGCTCGCCCACAAAAACGATGCTGCCACACTCAACCACGCTGCGTGGGCATGCTGTAGAAACCCGTGGCTGAGCTGACTACGGACGAGCTGATCTATGCCAACGCTGGCGCCAACCTGTTCACCGACACGCCCGAAATTTGCAACTGGGTGTCTGACCTCATGCCCAAGGAAGAATTTATTGTTGGCGGGTAGGCTGCCCCTCGTCCCATGGCGCTCCTTATTGGTCTTCTTCGTTTTCTTTTGCTTGGTTTCGAGGTGGTGTTTTGCTGTGTACGTGCAGCAAGTGATTTACTTTGTTGTGCGCTTCAATAGATATGCCTATTTGGACGGCGAGAAGCATGTGCGCGTCTCGCTTGCCATGGATGCCATCAAGGCCGGTGTGATCCGTCGCCGCAAGACGGTGACAACTCTGGCCTACCTCTGCTCGCCCACCGACGTCTTTGTGGTGCGTGGATGACGCAGGCTGCGCATCATGGTCTGGTGTATTTGCTTTTGATTGATAGTTCTTCTCACGTCATAAATTTTGCTGCACTGGATGCAGGTCAGCACGGATGCTCGTGATGCGGCCGCGGCCAACTACAAGAACCCTGGCTCGGTCAAGACATTTGTCTCTGTCCTTCGCACTGTCATGAAGAAGGCTTGCACCAAGAACGTCTTGCCCCTGGCTCAGGATGCTTCCGGAACTCACACCTATGCCATCAACGACGGTATTGTTGTGCAGCAAGGTGAGTTTGAGGCCCGGTACCCGGTCAGGTTCAAGTGTGGGCTATGATGAATGAATTTGTGGCATTTTTATGTGCTTTCTCTTTCCGTCGAAGCGTGGTTCCGTGTCTCGACCCCCGCTCTGCTGCTGCGTCTTTGTTTCTCTGTATTCATCTTCTGGCCCGTTTTGCTCCGAGTACAGGCCCCAACTATGCTTTGGCCAAGCGCCTGCAGCACTGGCGTGCCATGGTCGCTCGGTAAGAACCTTTTGCTTCGCAGCAGGCGTGTGAATTGTACAATTGCACTGGGTTCATGACTGTGTTTTGGGGGCTCTGATAGCGCGGGGGGCTCTCGTGTGTCATCCAACATTGCCCCCTCCACGGCGACGCTGTCGGTCGTGCACAACAAGAGCTTTGCTGCAGCCTACGGAGGTTGGAAGCACTTCCCGGCCTTTGAGGTTGCTTGGCAGGTCAGAGCACCAACCCTCGGTCGCACTGCTTGGACACAAGCTTGCATCTCACGTTTTCTTGGGGTGTGGTGCGTTTGGGGGCCCACAGGAAACCTCCAACGCGGTCATGGGGGCGCTGCTGATCCACGACGTCCGCAACGAGCAGAGCAAGGCCAATCCGTCCTTTGAGTTGTCGAACCAGCTTGAACAATTTCGTTATGGCTCCTTCCATGGTGGCGTGTGGCGCTCGGGTTACAAGGTGGGTGGAAGTACAGGTGCACGCACGACGTGTGCTCTGTGTTTGGAGGCATGTTCCACCTTTCGTAGGGCTCACGTCGTTCCCTGCCTGGCACCACGACAGGTCGGCTCAATTGGCGAGGCCTCGGCGTTGCTTTACTACCTCGGTCTCTACGGGCCAATGGTACGTGAGACTGTTGCGCAGAGCCTGGGTCGTTTTTGCACGACCGCCCTCACTCATGCATGCCGCGCTGTGTGTCCTTGTAGGTCCTTATTGGCCTGTTGGGGCTGTCGACGGCGTCAATTGCTTATTGTCGCAGCGGTTGACCGGGTATGAATGGAGACGCCTTGGCCCATACCAGGGGCTTTGTGCCGAATGAAGTTGCTTTTCGACCCGTGAATGTGTGTATTGCGTGAATGTGAGCCCGTGTGCCTGCAATGTTTGCAGTACCAACAATTGATACTGATGCACGTTGAATACCCCAGAATACCGCTGGGGTGGCGGTTCTCTTCACTGGGCGGAATAAACGTGAATTTTGTAGTAATTTTTTTGTAGTTTTTCTGCTGTCAATATTTTTGGACGAGTTTTATTTTATCATGTTAACTCCATCGCAGCACCACGATCATTGGGCTCTTGGCCAAGGACGGGGGTGGCATGATGCCGTCGTGGCATCTCAGAGCTCGTCAAAACATGAGGCATGCCCGTCGACCCCAAAATGAAAGGCGTGTCCATGGTTGTTTGCGAGGGGAGCTGGTTTAGTTTGGTTTGGGAGAAGTGGATCGAGCTGATGACAGACTGGACGGCAGTGCCACTGGACCTAGCTAACCGTACCTCGCCGCTGAAGCGTCACCCTGCAAAGTACCCAAACGGCGAGCCCCGAACGGCCGCTGCCGTGTAAGACCAGAAAAATCAGCGGAACAGCAAAAGAGAAAAAAGAGCAAAAAGAAGATATTTGACAGATGCAGGACTCGAACCTACAGCCTTTGGAACTGGAATCCACTGCGCTACCAATTGCGCCAATCCGCCAACTGGGTCAAATATCGCCGAGAGCCAATGGCGAAATATATAGTATATAAATAACATTAAAAGGAAGTAGAATTGCAAACAACAGAAAACAGATAACATTATTCACGACGTGACATTGAGATGTAAACACCTGTCAAAAACACATGTTGTTCCTTAGAACGGCAAAAAAAAGAGATATTTGACAGATGCAGGACTCGAACCTACAGCCTTTGGAACTGGAATCCACTGCGCTACCAATTGCGCCAATCCGCCAACTGGGTCAAATATCGCCGATGGTAAGTAAACATATTTTGACATATCAACCAAAACTTTAAGGTAAAAAATTGCTGCAATTCTGTGAGCTTTTCCATCGAGGACATTGTCGCGTTCTTCGACCCCACACGATGGTACGCTTACTGATCTGGCCAGTCTCCGATTACCAAACGGGTCGACAGTGAAGAGGGGCGAAACAATGGAAGGGAGCCGGGAGGGGTGGGGAAGGTGGTGACTTTGGCGGCGTGCCCCAATCCGCCGTCCATATCACGCATCATCATCCCTCAATGTCCCTCCTTGGCGTGATGCGGTGCCCCAACATTCATGAGCTTGCAAACGATGAGATCATGAAGATGATACATACCTTATTGTTGTTTTAATGGCTGAAGTAGAGTAAGTTGATGCATATTTAACAGCACGTATTGTCGATACGTTTTTCTACATTCTGTCGTACAAAGGACGATTTGTGGACAATTTGTGGGTGCCTTTGTATGCATTTTGGGCTTGATGTGACAGAAATCGCTGCACCGCTGCGCTGCTGCAATCGGCGTATCTGTGTGTATCATTGTTTTGGCGTGCTCGCCTATGTGTGTGTCTAGTGTGATCCGCCCGCCGTCTCCACCGCCCAGCAGCCAGCTCCAGTTTTTTCTCAGACCAGTTGCGCTCATCCCATCACTTTGGTTGAGAATCGTCACAGACAGGGGCGAGGACATCGAGCTTGAGGTGATCAGGGGTTTGCAACACAAACCTTTTGAGCATGGCGACGCCCTTCAAGAATGAACTCGGGCAGGAGGAGGCGGGCGTCGAACCCGTGTTCCACCCATCGTCTCGGCGAACAAGCCATCGACAACGTTGGATCATGCGTTTGGTGGCTGGAGTGGCCCTGCTTGGTGTCGCGGGTATAACCCTTGCCACGGCGTGGCGTCCCTTGGTCATGAGTCATGAAACACGACGTGGCGCCATCGTCGCGATGCCGCGAGAGGTCAAACCGGCCGCTGCTCAGTATCTCACTGCTCAGCTTGCCAAGCTTCAGCAGGAAAACGCACGCATACAGCAGCAGCTTCAGCAGGTTGGTCAGCCTCGACGCGCCGGTGACCGGCAAGGGAACCGGGGCTAAGCAACAATGCCGAGTGTTTGTGTCGCCCAGCTGTCTTTCTCTCACCGGACGCTCCCTTGCTTACCTTGTGCTCGTTTGCTCTGCCGTGCGTCCCTCGCCTTCCACCCACAGGTTCGTTTGCAACAAACGCGGCTGTCAGCCAAGCAGCGCATCGACCTGCTTCGCGAGACAGGCAACTGGTCGCTAGGCTCGGGTATGGAGTCCTCTTGGCTCAGTGAGCCCAATCAGCTGGCCGAATTTACTGCGGGAGGCAAGGCACGTCCTGGCGTCTATGGGGATGTCGACGAGGTTGACGACGACGACATTGCGCGCGACACGGATAATCGAGAGCCAGACACGGGCGCGAGCAGCATGTCCCTGGCCACCGATGCAACCACGTTTGCCGTGGGTCTCCACAAGGAAGACCAGACGGATATTCTATTGCTCGATATGAGCCAAGCTCTGGCCGCACTTGCCACACTTACGGAGGCATCCGACGGCGCGGCAATGGATGTAACGACTTCTTTGACGCCAGCGTCGGTGCTGCCCACCGTCCTGTCCCAACCCAAGCTTCTGCAAGCCAGTCTGCTGCAACAAATTACCGTCGAACATCTGGATCACGTGGCGGTCACTGAGCGTCGTCTTGCGCTGTCCGGATCCACGCTGCTGATGGCGGTACCCGCGAGCCCTCGTTTCAACACGGCCAAAGTCGACACGGTACACGTGTATCAGGCCTCTTCCATGCCCGTCTCGAGTGCGGAATTGCCGCGCTTTCGCCATTCGCAGGTTTTGACCTCGCCCGGAGCAGATCCCTATGCAGCCTATGGCATGGCCATTGCCGTCAGTCCTGGGTTTGTGGCCATTGGTGCACCCTTGGCCAAGGCGCTTGCTCTCAGCGACCCGTCCGAGCCGGCCACCCAGGAGCCGCGCCCAGGCGCAGTCTACCTCTACACCTCGGGTATGGCCCTGGATGCCCAAGGGCAGCCTAAATACGTTCGTATTACACCCCCAGCTGATTGTGGCGATGGCACTCGCTTCGGGAGTGCTCTGACCTTTGTGGAGGACGACAATCTCCTGCTGGTGAGCGCCCCCGGCTGGGTAGGTACCGCCGACAGTCGTGGTGCCATTTTCATCTATGCCTTGGACAGCGCAAATGACACGGCCGTCCTAGTGGGCCGAATCCTGTCGAACCCCAGTCAGCTGGATTTTGGTGTGGCTCTTGCCTACCAGGACGGCGTGCTCGCGATTAGCTCTCAGGTGGCCACCGACACAAATGCCACCAAGTTTGAGCGCGCCGTTCTCCTTTTCCTCAGGGTCACCTCGACCCGGTTTGTGTTTGTGCGTTCCCTCTCAGCTCGAGCTGACAACGAGGAACTCAACTTTGGCTTTTCCCTCACCTTTGCACCATCAGCCCTCTTGGTCGGCTCCCATCGCTACTCGATTGCTTCGACCATCACCCACGTCTATCAATGAGGCTGACCATTGCCAGATCGGGACTCTCCAGAGCATGTGCACGTGAGTCACGTGGGTGTGTGCGCAGTTCAGGGATGCAACTGGATCTCGACCATTTTCGGTTGCATCTTGGTCGTGGTGGTGGTGGTGCCGGTGGGCCTTGTTCCACTGCAGCGCGTGTTGTATGTTGTTTGAGGTGCCGTTTTTTTTTTTCGCGAGTGTTGCGGCCGAGTATTCCTGCAATTTGCTTGGGCAATGAAAGCCCGAAAATTGATTTACAAAACTTGAGCCTGTGCATACGAATAGCTCTCATCATCATAAGAATCATTCTCATTCCACTTTGTCCCCATGTCGAGATACGTGCCTGGCCGGTTCTCTTGGCCGATGGAGCGTTAGTGAAAGTGTATCAAAAGTTGCATATAATACACAAAATGATGACATTTGCGCCTAATATTGCATTCTCGTTTATATATTATATTTTCGACTTACGTCTCCAACTTCTGGGTGATTGGTCTAGTGGTATGATTCTCGCTTCGGGACTCCACTTCTCCGCATGTTACACCTTTGTACTGTACTGCGCGAATTTGCGAGAGGTCCCGGGTTCGATTCCCGGATCACCCCTGAAAATCTTTTTGCTTTGGCTCTGCTGGCTCTGCTGGCTCTGCTGGTTCTGTCTATCTTATCATCTCAATCGCTCTCTGTTGAACTCTATTGGCTCCATCCAATTGGCTCTATTGGCTGGCTGGCTGGCTTATCGGCTCTATTGGCTCTATCGGCTCTATCTGTTAGGGTCTATCACTCTATTGGCTGGCTCTATTAGCTTTATTGGCTCTTTCGGACTGGACTTATGGCTCACGTGGCTCTATTGGCTGGCTGGCTCATCGAGCCTCTTAACTGTCTTATTTGTCCGTCGTCTTTGCGCCTGCTGGCTCTATGCTGTTGGCTCTTGTTTTGCTTTGAGCTAGCTTTGAGGTCTTCGATGATGGGCACGCCAGTGGTTGGCATCGGAGTGGCGACAGAGCCAAAGACGGTGAGAGAGAGGCATGGAGAGAGACAGAGAGAGAGACAGGGCAGAGAGAGAGAGAGAGACAGGGCAGAGAGAGAGAGAGAGAGACAGGGCAGAGAGAGAGAGAGAGAGAGAGAGAGAGAGAGAGAGAGAGAGAGAGAGAGAAAGAGAGAGAAGAGAGGAGAGAGAGAGAGAGTGTGTGTGTGTGATCATCACTTTGTGGTTACACATGTAACCTTGGGCCCTAAAGGCAGAAAAAACAGAGAGAGAGAGAGAGAGAGAGAGCGAGCGAGCGCAGGCATGACTTAACGACAGAGCGAGCAGGGAAGGGCTCCAGGGACTGGCCCCGACGAGCGCGGCTGCGCTGCGACTGGCGACCGTATGTAGTCTGGCTGGTGGGGTGGGGCATTGTCCAGGGTCGATGACATTTCTGGGAGGGTGATCTTGGGTGAAGAGGGGGCGTTTGGTCGGTCAGTGGGCGCGAGATCCAACGTGCAGCAGGGCGATTGGCAGCCCACGGCAGCATCGCCTCGGTCGGATGATTGACTGATTGCAACTGTTCACAGCGCCCGGGCTCGTCCAACCGATCCAGGTGGTGACATTGGCGCGGCGAGTGAGGCGTTGGGGCGGTGGCTCGACCGACATGGCACAGTCCCTGGGCCGGCTGGCAAGTTGTGCACGCCTCGGGCTGCTGCTCGGGCTGCTGCTCGGGCTGGTGGTGCGTGCGGATGGACATTTCAGCCCCGCTGTACCAGGACACATGGACATGCCCAACGCCACCTGTCTCTCAACACAACTGCTTTTCCGACTCCAAGGCAATATCGGTGGTCATTACCAGTGCTTCGACGCCATGATGGCACAGCACCAACAACCCGCCTGGCGCGTACCCTGCTCCGGTCGACCTCCAGCCAGCGAGCGCCTCTACCATACCATCATTGCGCCCAGCGTGGCCATGCTCATGCCCATGCTCTCCATCTCTCTGCTCCTGCGCTTCACGCATCCAGCGCCTGCACCAGGCGCCGCGCATCTGCGGCACCCACGGAACCACCGCCGTCTTGACCACAATGCCTGCGACGCCGCTTGACAAAATAATTCAGGGCCTTCTTGATCCACGCACGGACCTCCCCGTGCCTCTTGTGTGTTTGACAAGACGCGCTGGGGTTCTTGAGTGCCTTTCGATTTTTCAACAATGCCTGTAGTTCATATTGTGCAATAGTACGCGCACACCTGGCCCACCAGCCTCCATGAGTATCGTTTCTTCGCCTGTCAATTCTTCCTGATGTCCTTGTTCATTGCTCACGCTTTGAGTCCGTTGAGTTCATCGGTAATGCGGGCCAGCTCTTCTCCTTGATAGTGCTGTCTCGTGGCGTCGCTTTGAGCTGGATTGGTCCCATCGAGGCCGTCCATGACACGTGCCATTTCTGTGCCGGCTTGAAAATAGAACGAGTTAATCCTTTCGCTTCAATTCATTTATTAATCCTGAACACTGTGGTCAGATCCGAGGCCTCTTCTGGTGAGACGCCTACATTTCAGAACTAAAACAATCGAGGTTGTCTAGCTCACAGAAATTTTAGGAGCAGGCAGGCTTTGTGCAACACCAATTCGGGAACGATCCTCTCTATGCCGCCATCGATCTGTGGGGCGTTTTTGCCATCATCGCACGCTCGGGGCTCGTCATCAAACAAGATTCAGAAGGACGTCGTCGCGTTTCAGCAGCTCCATGAACACATCCGGATCCAAGCTCCTCGAGTCATCAAGCCATGCCACCATCAAAGCCACCGAAAGGCGCCGGCGCAAAAGTCCACGGCGTGCAGACCGGGCGAGCGCGTCCACTACCAGCGCGCACGTTTGACACACGTATTCAGACGATTCAGATGAGCTCATGGACAGGGTTTGCATATCTGGCTGCGATTATAACATCTCGCGTTTGCTTACCATACGCATGGGGCGGGGGAGCCGCGCCAGATGGCCGGTGCAAGGCCATGATGACTTCAAGTGCTGGTTGTGCCAGCGCCTTTGATTCCCGCCATTGGAGCACACATGAGCATGAACGTGTGTCGGCGCGGCGCGAGTCGTGGCCAGATCGAAACACGTCTCGTCTCGCAGTCGAGACACCGCAGCCCCACCTGGGTCTGCAGATCACCACGCTGAAGGCGAGTGGCGTGCAGCAGCGCAGCCAACGGTGTATCATCACTCTGAATCATCACGGAGAACCGAAACAAAATGCCAACGCAGAAAAAAAGAAAAAAAAAAGAGAGAGAGAGGCAGAGAAAAGGGCAGTGAGGTTGGTTCTGGTGGTCACCACTACCCACACGTCACGCAAGAATCCTTGGTGCGCGACATTACCACATCGACCAGGTTGGCGTCGGCACCGGCCACAACCAGGGCTTGGATAATGTCGGTCCAACCGCGGCTGCAGGCCACATGGAGAGGCGTGCGTCCAATCTACTGGTCACAACGTGCCACCAGCAGCCCTCTTGATACATCACCCGCAGTGGAATGCTGGGAGCGAGCTGCCACGCCTGCATCTTACCTCGGTCTGGCAGTTTGGGTTGGCTCCGGCCACCCCGACAAACAGCCGTACTACACTGGTCATTCCATGATAACAAGCATAGTGCAGCGTCGTGACGCCCCCTCCGACCGTCTGTGCGACCCACCCACGCAGCCCTCAAGTTCAGTAAAGTGATGGCCTCTGAAGCTCAAGGTCTGAGCCCCCGCCCCCCCCCACAACAGCGCCCCACGTACCATCCGACCATCGTGCCACTCAGCCACCGCACGCAGGGCCTCAACATCATCCCCCAACTCCCCCAACGCTCCCAAGACATCCGCCTCCGCCCCACCAGCCCGACACAGCGCATAAACTCGCTCCGCCACCGCCATCTCTCCCCACGCCCTAAAATATCTGACAATCCCCGACTCACACAATTCAAGGTGCGACGTGCGAAAAGGCACAAAGAAGTGGCTTCATATACAATTTTAAGATATCCACTTTCGCCAACGGTCATACCACATGGAATACACCGGCTCTCGTCCGATCGCCGCAGTTAAGCCATGTTGGGCCATGCTAGTACTATCGTGGGTGACCAGATGGGAATACATGGTGCTGTTGGCCTCCTCTTTTTATTTCACGCTCCTTCATCTCTTTACGCTTCATCTCCTTCATCTCTTTACGCTCCTTCATCTCTTTACGCTCCTTTACGCTCCTTCATCTCTTGACTCGGTTAAGTTTTCTTGGGTTTGGAGGGGTGACTTGAACTTGATCTTTGCGTTATTTAGAGAGGTAGGAAGCCGAGGCTGGCCCTCATGAGATCTGCTCATCGACGAGAAAAGAACCTTCACAATGGACGGGACTTGCTGCGGCGGTGTGTGCGTCTGTATGTGTGTGTGTGGTGGCGGTGATGGGGCGGGGAATCATTTTGTAGGGTGGGTATACACCGCTGCATTGGGCCTGCGTGAACGGCCATCTGGAGGTGATGGAGATGTTGTTGAAGCACGGGGCCGATGCCCAGACCCAGAACAAGGTCAGCCTCCCGGCCCTTTTTTTCTTTTTTTTTGGATGTTGAATTGGCTGTAGTTTTTGACAGCCAGCACAGCTGAACACGGCAATGTACATGTGGCGCACAACTCAATGTATAGGGTGGCAATACTTTACTGCACAGTGCTTGCCGTTTCGGCCATGACAAGGCAATGAAGATTCTGCTGAGGCACGGCGTTGATGCTCGAGTCAAGAACAAGGTCAGCACAAGCTCATGGCGCTTTCTTGGCTCTCGTCACCCTTGTTCAACTGCTGAAGGAGCTCACGGTCATGGCGCGTCACTTGTGTACAATGGTGGTGGTGGGGGCGAAATCAATCTGTAGGACGGCCAGACACCACTGCATATTGCCTGCATCAAGGGTTGCGCCAGCCGGGTGGAACTTCTATTGAAGCACAACGCTGATTTGAACGCTCAGAACAATGTTAGGCTACCTTCTTCCATGCACCTCGTCATCTCTTTCGAGAGTCTTGGGCTTGGCTGCTCAGATGGCTGTTCATGATGCTGTCATGTTTCTGATTGTTGCAAACAAAAACCGACAGAATGGCGATACACCGTTGCACATTGCCAGTGCCAAGGGCTGTGCAAAAGTGGCAGAAACACTGTTGCAGCACGGCGCTGCCGCTCAAGCTCAGAATAACGTCAGTCCCCTTGCCCTTTTCGCCCTGCTTCAAGTCTTTTCACCACCAGCCCGCCCCGAGTCGAGATGTCATTTTGGCAAACACAAAGCAGAAAAGTGGCCGCTCCAACCCGAGTTTTGCTCTGTGTCACCGCCGCTCGGCCGCCCTCCCCTGCGCATCCATCTTCTTTATTCTTTGCTCGGTTAACATCAAATGCTTTCTGTTTGCTGCCCTGCCATCTGTCCTGCCGTTTTTCTCTTCATCTTAGAACGGTGAAACACCCCTTGATAGGGCGCTGCAACACCGGCATGGGGTTACCGTTGTCCCTGTGTTTGCAGCACATGAAGCTCGCCTGGCCCAACTTCCCGAGCCCGCCACATAGGCGCACTTGGCCTCGACAGGGGAAAAAAAAAAGAAGAAGCATCTGACATCTCGAGGTTTTCCGAGGGCTGTGTGACCATGCAGATCAACGAGCAGCCGTTGCTTTACGAGCTTGGAAGAGTGCTGGCAGCACACTGCGCTTGCTTCCCGGCCGAGACGGCATCTACCAAGGCTCAGAGCGGCCAGAGCGGCCAGAGCGGCCAGAACGGCCAAAGCGGCCAGAGCGGCCGTGGACTTGTTTGCCAACCAGCACAGCATGGCGTTTCCATGCACCGAGAGCTGCTGAACATTACCAAAGACGATCTCAGGTCCCTGGTTGGGGGACACTGCCCAGACATGAACGCAGCGTCCTCAGCTGGTCTCTGCCCGATGCTTGGCAGAGGTCCGAGACTGCCGAGCTACAAATATATAGGGTCACCGCGCATCAAGATGGGCGCCCGTGTTTTACGAAACTCGGGTCATGCTACTATAACTCTCTGTTTGCGCGGGGTTCGTGTCTGAGCTGAGCCATGCAATAGACTGAAGCAAGGCGCTGGCGGGCAAGCTGTTGCTGCGCGAGCGGAGCGTACAAAGCTGGTCGGCCCGAACCGGAAACAGCAGCGCCACTGGCTGGGGACACGCTCTGCGGCCTTTCCGTCTTTTTGGCGGCTGGCCCAGTGATCCTTGAATGGTTGATATCACGTTTCTCCCCCTTTCTCTTTGATAGTCCAGTGAAGTCAGCCCTGCTGGCGACAAATCAAATAAAGTGGCGCGCACATGTGCGCCTTGAGCCGTCCAATCAAGTTTTTTTTTTTTTTTTTTTTTTCCAATGTCTTCTTTGAGTATGTCGCTTCAATCAATTGACAAACGTGGGGTCGCAAGGGCAACTGAGTCAGGCAATGCAAAGAGCAGCGATTTTTGCTAACAAGGAGTCCAAAAGCTAAGAAAACATGTCGCTCCACTGATTGGCGTACCACGCAATCCTGTCGTCGTTTCGACTGGCGCTGAGGACGTCGAGGTCGCCATCGTTGTCCAGGTCCGCCGCATATGCAAACCACGCAAAGTCGGCGGCGGTCGTGATGACAATTCGGGTGGAAAAGGAGCCGTCACCGTTGTTGCGGTACCACGCAATCGTATTGTCGCCATAGCTGGCGCTGAGGACATCGACATGGCCATCGCTGTCCAAGTCCGCTGCATACACCGAAAATGCACTTTCAGCGGCTGTGGTGATGGCGATCGGCGTGGAAAAGTTGCCGTCGCCGTGGTTGCGGTACCACGCAATCTTGTTGTCGTGCCGGCTGGCGCTGAGAACGTCGAGGTCACCGTCATTGTCCAAGTCTGCCGCGTACACCGAGCATGCACCATCGGCAGCGGTGGTGATGACAATTTGGTCGGAGAAGGTTCCGTTGCCATTGTTGCGGTACCACGCAATCTTATCGCCGTCGGCGGAGTTTGCGCTGAGAACATCGGGATAGCTGTCGTTGTTCAAGTCTGCCGCGTAGACGGAGAACGCGGTACCCGAGGTCGTGCTGATGACAATTTGGCTGGAAAAGGTGCCGTTGCCATTATTCTGGTACCATGCGATCTTGTTGTCGTCCCGGCTGGCGCTGAGAACATCGAGGTTACCGTCATTGTCCAAGTCTGCCGCGTACACCGACCAGGCCCCGTCGGCTTCTGCGGTGATGACGCGCTGGGTGGAAAAGGTGCCATTGCCATGGTTGCGGTACCACGCAATCTTATCGTCGTTTTGGCTGGCGCTTAGAACGTCGGAATGACCGTCGTTGTCCAGGTCTGCTGCGTGCACGCAGGCCGCTCCGATTGCGGCCTCCGTGATGACCATCTGCGCGGAAAAGGCACCGTTACCGTTGTTGTGGTACCACGCAATCTTGCCGTCATCGTGGCTGGCGCTCAGGACATCGAGGTGGCCATCCTTGTCCAGGTCTGCCGCGTATGCCGAGCTGGCACCGGCAGCGGCACTGGTGATGGTGTAACCCCTGAACGTGCTCGGACTGAAGACTGTCAGAGACTTGAGACGTTCCAGCACATCAACGCCGTTGAGCACAACGCGGTTGCTGGCATTGATGAACAGCGTGCCTTCGGCATCGACACTGATGCTGGGCTCGATCACATCCACAGCAAGGGCCCAGACAAGAAAGCTGCTGCCGATCAGCACCCAGCAGCGCACCGCGGTCCACAGCGTCCCCTTCATGACGATGATTTAAAAAATAAAACTTTAAATAAAAACCAATTCCATGTCAATAATATTTAAATTTTTCTACCTTGAAAAAAGTCTGTCAACCCAAGCAGAATTTACTAAAGATTTAAATTTTCTACCTTGAAAAAAAATATAGCCAAACCCCCCTTCCGCCTTGTGGCTTTTGCTTTTAACTTCTTCTTCTTCTTCTGCTGCTTGCTTCTGTTTGGCATCGGGATCGACATTGGCATCGGCGGGCTGCTCGACGCCTCTTGCTTGGTGTGTGGTGACTGATCGCTTGTGGTTGGTACGGGCAATCTCCTGATTGGGTGGGGCTTTGTGTGGCGACGCCAGACCGTTTGGTTGGGAGTATCGCTGCCACTCTTTTTTTTTTTTTTTCCACTGATCTCGCCTCGCAGTCGTCGCGGGCGCTTGGGCGAGCAAATACACCTGTGCTCGTGAATGTGACCCAGAACTTTTGGCCAAAGGTGAGTCGTTTGGCGGTTCAGGCAGAGGAGAGCAAAGACCCGCTGACCGGCTGCCGTTTTGGACACGTCGACTCCCAGTCCGAATTTTGGGTTGACAGATGGAGGGGGCTCACGAGATTGATGGTGGATAGAGGAAGCATCAAGCGGATTTGAAGTGGATCAAGCGGTTTTGAAGCGGATGGTGATCGAGAGATACCGTTACCATGAATGATGATGGAGTGCAGCTGTTTGATGCGTGTTATTACTATGATCCACACAAGGCGCTGCGGCTGTTGAACAGTTGGGACGAACAACGTATTCGTCATGCTGCCCAATACAAAAATGAGGTACGTCGTATACTGTTTGGCATGATGTGGTGTGTGATATATACCTTCTGAAAGTATGGTATAACATGAGACATGCATCATCCCACAGGGTGACTTTTCACCGCTACACTATGCCTGCCTTAACGGTCACATCGAGGTGGTGGAGACGCTGTTGAAGCACGGTGTTGATGCTGAAGCCAAGAGCTACGTCAGTACAGTAACCCCTTTTGTCCTCCTTCGATGGTATACACCTGTACCACACGGTTGATGATGGTGATGACTGCTGATGCATGATCCCACAGTCTGGCTGGACACCACTACACAAAGCCTGCCGCAGCGATCGCGTCGAGGTGGTGGAGATGCTGTTGAAGCACGGTGTTGATGCAAAAGTCAAAATCGAGGTCAGTACCTCTTTCCCCCTTTACCCCCCTTCAGCTGTACCATATGATGATGCTGCTGTACGTGTACGTAACGCTGATGCATCATCCCACAGAATGGCTTTTCAGCACTACACTATGCCTGCCTTTACGGTGATGGCAAGGTGGTGGAGATGTTGTTGAAGCACGGTGCTGATGCTAAAGCCAAGGGCAGGGTCAGTACAGTGCCTCGTCCCCCTTTAGCCCCCCTATGATGGTATAGCTGTACCACATGATGGTAATGATGATGATGATGATGATGATGATGATGATGATGATGGCATATCCCACAGCATGGCATTACACCACTGCTCTGTGCCTGCGAAAAGGGTGATGTCAAGGTGGTGGACATGTTGTTGAAGCACGGCGCTGATGCTAAAGCCCAGGACAGGGTCAGTACAGTGCCTCCCTTCCCCCCTCCCTCTGGCTGCTGCTGCTGCTCCCGCTGCTCGTCGTCTTTGTCCCGTCCCTCGTTCTTCTACACCCTGCCCACCGTGCGCGTCCGTTCTGCCCTTGCTCCTTTTCTTCTTTCCCGCTATCCCTCTTCTGTTCCCATTTTCCGTCCACCCTTTTGCACACGCTCCTTGCACCCCGCCCTGTCCCACTGTATCTACACCGGCGTCCCCTTCTGATGTCGTGACTTCAAACCGGGCACTATTCTATCTCTCGCCATCGTGCTCCTGCCTCCCTCGCACGCTCAAGCGGCTTTGAGTAGTCGTTTCTTCTGCTTTACCCAGGCTCACCCAACGCTCACCCTTTCCCCACCCTGCCTGGAAAAAAAAAAAAAAAAAGAATGGCTGCGCACCGGTGCACAAAGCCTGCCATGGCAACTATGTGAAGATCTTACAGCTACTTCTGGAGCACCACGCCAATGTTGAAGTCAAGGATTGGGTTTGTGATTCTACTTGGCCATGAACCTTGTGCCGCACCTTCTTCGCTCGGGCTTGCAATGTCCTGGATTCCACTGGCTCATCCAGACCCTTTGTCTTGGGCTGCGTGCGTGTCCGTCTTGCTCAAACGATGCCGCTGCTGGCCATCCAATGCCTCGGCAGCGTGAAAACACACCACTTCACATCGCCTGTGACTATGATCACGCCGAGATCACTTCGATCCTTCTAAGTCATGGTGCAGACGCCAACGCGAGAAATCGTGTAAGAAGCTTCTTACGTGCCCCCTCATATGTTGAAAAGGCCAGTTTGTTGCTTATGCCTGTCTCTGTCTGATGAATTTGTTTTTGCGGCTAGGATGGAGCGACATCATTACACGCTGCCTGCCAAGGTGGTAGCATGAAGGCGGTACAAAGTTTGTTGAGTCACAATGTAGACCCCAACATCACCAATCACGTTAATTGCGCTATTTGCCGTCTAAAATTGAATGTATTGTGTTGCCTCCTCCCTTGGTAAGAGCTCGTTCCTCATGTTCCCGAACATGATTATAATATAGGACGGCCAAACGCCGCTCCATGTGACCTGCACTGCCTTGTCTGCCAGCCGAGAGGGTATCCAGCAACTCTTGCGGCACGGTGCCGACCCGAATGCGAGAGATCTCGTAAGCTCTTTATCATGATGCCGTGCTTTTCCGCTCTTCTGCTGCACCTGCGATTGATACCTGATGGCCTTCTGTGGCAGGCGGGTGCACGACCCTTGGATCTGGTCCTTCGCAGGGATCGCATCAAGCTGGATGTGGGTCTTTTTTTTTTGTTTATTTTGGTTACATTGCTGAGGCAAGCTTGCTGACCGATGAAACTGTTTCACTTTATAGGTGGTTGCAGAGCTGTTGAGCGTAACCCGTACCCCTTGCTCCTACCGAACTTCGAATTCCAATGGTGCGCACCTGATTCCCATCTGATTGTTCGCATTGTCTTGCTCTCATCGGATTTCAACGTGGCGCCAGTCCAAGGCTTGATCCATGCGGAGCAGATCAGACGCTGGCGGCGCGCTGTTGCTGTTCTCTGTAGCGTCGGCTGGCGCGTTGATCCTCGATTGTTCGATATCCAAGACCTACAAGCCCTTGGTGACCTGGCCGCTCGAACGTCCGCTGCTCAAGTAGGACTTTGAAAATTGAAATGTGTGGCGCTTGTGGTTGGCTTGTCGATCGCTATGCAATCAGAAAATAAAGTCAACGGGCAGGGCGGGCTTTGCCAAACGTCTGAAGCAGACCAGTCCAGCAACCATCGAAAAAGAGCGGGTAACCGCTCCGTTTTGATTTACCATGACATCGAATGATGACAATTGTGTCTCGGTAGCGGCGGCTGCGGGAGTGACCAGAGCAAGCGCGAACTTAAAAAAGAAAAAGAAAAAGAGAAGAAGCACAAGAAGCACCAACATCGTGAGCGCGAGGCGCGCTCGCCCTGCCATGTGCTCTGGAATGCCCAACAAGCCAGCGATCGTGATGAGCGCGATCACGTGGCTCGATTGCTGGTTAAGGCAGCAGCTGCTCAGATTTCGAGACCAAGAAAAATTGCTTTAATCTCCTACTTTGGTTGCTTCTGGTAGAGTGGTCATGATTGGAATGGGTACTCTGGGAGAACCCGAACCTCGCCCAAGCTGTCCAGCACTACGGAGGAGGGGCAACGCAATGAGTCACTGCATGTTTCTTTTGGACAAGAGTTGGCACCCAAGAAATCAAGTTGGCGCGCTCGTCGTCGGAAATGGTCGCTCGCATCTGGTTGAGGAGATGTTCGATCTGGTCGGCAGCGTTAAAGCGGCTCGCCGACGGGCTTGGGATGCTGACCAGCTGCCACGGCTGGCAGACAGGCATTACACGTGTGCGCACATGTTCTTTGCATTTTCTTCGTCAACTCTTCTGCTTTTGGCTCTTCTGCTTGGCATCGGTATCGACATCGGCATCGGGAGGTTGCTTGACGAGTCTTGCTTTGCGTGTGGTGCTTGATTGCTTGTGCTCGGTACGGGAATATCCTGGTCGGGGCCTTGTGGCGACGCCTGAACGTTTGGTTGAGCGCATTGCTGCCACTTTTTTTTCCCGTGGTGTGAGTGCCACTGATCTCGCCTCACAGTCGTCAGCGTGCGCTTGGGCAAACCAAGTACACCTGTCTTCGCAACTGTCACCAAGAACAATCGACCAGAGGTGAGTCGTTTGTTGCATCAGGCAGGCAAGACCCGCTGACCGGCTGCCGTTTTGGAAACGAATCTCAATATCATAATAAACTTTGAGTTGTCAAACGTGCTGGAGGGGCTTATGAGATTGGTGGTGGGTAGAGAAGCAAAAAGCTGCTTGAAGCGGATGGTATATAGAGAGCGATACCATCTATCATGAGTGATGATGCTGATGGAAGGCATCTGTATGGGGCATGTTTTTCACCAGATCCACAAAAGGCGCTGCAGCTGTTGGAGTATTGGGACCAACAGCAAATTCTAGACGCTGCCCAATACAAAGGTGGTGGGGCCTGCTATCACGGTCATGTCAAGGTGGTGGAGATGCTGTTTGATACGAAAGCCAAGGGCTATGTCAGTACAGTACCTCCCTCTTCCCCCCTTGACTCCCCTATGATGGTGCCCGCACCTGTATCACATGATGATGATGATGAATGAAATCTCCTTGTTCTCGGTAAGGTGTCACAGGCACCAAAGTACGCAGCTCCAGCCCAGCGTCACAAGTACTCGGGGGCGAGCTAAAAGTCCACAGGCGACACAAGCACCAAGGCGAGCTCAAAAATTTTACACACAGCTCCAACCGGACAGCACAAGCACCAAAGCGAGCTCAAAAATTTTACACACAGCTCCAACCGGATGGCACAATCCACGGTGAGCTCAGGCTTTGTACAACTCCAGCTGAGTGACACAGGC